GGGGCCGCCAGCCCCCCCCCCCTACCACCGCCACCACACCACCCACACACACGCACCTGAACAGCATGGTGGGGTACTTCTTCTGCACCTCGCTCAGCAGCTCGCGGCTGGCCTTCATCTTGAGCTGGTACTGCACCTCCATCGCCCGCTTGTACACCGTCGTCTCCTTCTCGTCGTGCATCCTGCGGCAATGCGGGGCAGCAGGAGGCGCGCGGCAGGGGCGGCAGCTGAGCGAGCGGCGCCTGCCTGAGCTTGTGTGTGTGTGTGGCGGGGATGCGAGGGCGGGCAGTGTGTGTGGGGGGCGCTGAACGCGGCGCTCAAGGAGGGGCCCGGCCAGCGGCGTGGGCATTGCAGTCACGGATGCTGGTCCGGCACCAGCCGCCCTGCCTGCCAGCCGCAGCCCCAGGCCGCTCGCCTGAATCGCGCTCCCCAGCCACACCCACACCCACACCCACACCACCACACCACACCCAGGCATGCACCCCGCCAGGGGGGCCCTTGCCGCTCACTTGGGCTTGCCCTCCCCCGTGGACATGATGACGTCGATGGCGTACACCTCCCCCTCCTCAAACTCAAACTCCTCCATCTGCAGGAAAGGGGGAAGGCAGGCGGGGCGGGGCGGGGCGGGGCGGGGAGAGGAGAGGAGAGGAGGGAGCCTGGTGAGCCGCGGCTGAGGTTGGGCGGCGGGGCAAGGTGCTGCAGCAGGGCAGGCGGGAGGCGCGGCAGGCGGGAGGGACCGCGGGGGCGGGCGCGGCCGGGGCCGCGCGGCGCGGCCTCCGCCCGCGAAGCAGCCTGCGCCCAGCGCCGCGCCGCACCCTACCTTTGTGTCTGGCAGCGGCTTCTGCAGCACCGCCTTCTGCGCGTCGATGACGAAGCGGGTCATCTGGTAGGACATCACGCCGTCCACAAGGCTGCATGTGGGGGCCAGGGGGGAGGTGGGCAGGCAGGCGTGGGCGTGGGCGTGCGTAGGAGGGCGTGGCAGAGGCGTGCGTGGCCGCGGCAATGGCGGTGGGTTTGCGGGTACAGTGGCGGTGAGGATTCGCGCGACTAGTGGCGCATTGGAAGCCGGAGCTGGGATGCCCGCGGGCTGGAGGGCGCTGCCGCCCCCTGCAGCCCGGCGCCAGCCACCGCCAGCCGTCCCGGCGCCGCCCCCGCAGCAGCGCCCCCCAGCAGCGGCGGCGCCGCGCCCCACCTGCACCCGTACGCCTCTGCAATCTTGTTGAGCGGCGCGGCCACCTCGCTGGCCTTCCTGCCCGGCCGCATGAGGCGGGCGGCGGCGTCAAAGGCGGTGGCGGCGGCCTGGATCACGTCGGCCGCGCGGCCGGTGACGGGCGCCGACGGGTCTGACGCCACCACTAGGGAGTGAGCCGCCTGGGCGATGTAGCCATCGATGTGGCAGCCCAGGTCGCTGCGGGGGTGGGTGGCGCGTGGGGGCAGAGGCAGGGGGCAGGGGTGAGCGCCGGGGCACCCGCCGCGCGCACCAGGCAAGCCCCATCCGCCCAGCTCCATCCGGCGCGCGCCTGCGCAACCCCTCGCGCCGCGCTGCCTGCGGCGCCGGGCGGCGGCGCCGCTGCAGCTGCAGGGCTGCCACCCCATGCTGAGCGGGCGCACACACCCCCTCCCCCGCCTGCCCTCACATCTTCACAAGGTCTCCTTCCTTGAGCTCCGCGGGGCTGTCGTTGGGCGGCGAGTTGTGGCCCACGCAGCTGCAGGCAGGGCCAACAAGCCCAGGCAAGGCAGGCGAGGGGCGGCGGCGGCAGCGCACGTCGCCGCCACTGGGGGCGATGCCAACGACAGCTGCCCGCCCCGCCGCCAGCCAGCAGCAGGCATCCCAGCGGGTGCGGCCCCGCAGGCATAGTGACATACAGGCAGCTGGGGGGCAGGCCGGCTGAGCCCCGGCTGGCTGGCTGGCTGGCTGGCTGGCTGGTGGGCCTCACTGGTTGACAGAGATGCAGGTGGGCACGGCAATCCCCTTCTCAATGTCCTTCCCCTTGAACTCCTTGCTGACGCCCCTGCAGGGAAGGCAGGCGCGCGGCACGCGGCGCCAGCCGGCCGTCGGCAGGAGTGGCGGGCGCAGCGGCAGCAGCAGCCACCGCCGCCGCAGCGGCACCCTGACGGCCCGGACGCATGCGTGCGCCGCGCCGCTGCGAGCGCCCCCGTGGCAAGGCAGCTGGCCGCCCGCTGCTCCGTGGCCCATCCCGTGCCCCTCCCGCACGCCGCGACTCGCTCAGCTGCCGCCGCCGCTGCTGCGCCACACTCCGGAGCCGCACCAGCCGCTCTCCCATGCCATCCTCGCCGGCTGGCGCCGCTGGCGCCGCTGCCTGCCTGCCCCAGCCCTCCCCTGCCGCGCTCACTCGTTCAGCAGGCTGTCTCCCTTCTCGCACACATCCACCACCTTGGCTCCCGGCTTGCACGCCTCAATCACCGCCGCCAGGGTGGCTGCAGCAGGCCACGGTGGACGGGCGGGTGGGTCCACAGGGCACGCAAGCATTCAAACGCCGCGGCTCTGTCGATCGGCCGCCGGTGCGGGCTGCGCGGTGGTCGGGGGCATGCTGCGGGGCTGCAGGCAGGGAGCGGGCGCACGAGCCCCAGGGCGGCGCACCATTGACGATCTTGGAGGCGGCTTTGTACTTGGTCACAACATCGGGCTGCAGGGGACGGCCAAGCGGGGAGGCATGGTCGGCACGAGGCGGAGGGGCGACAGTTCGGGCACCACCAGCCTACTGCAGGCCCAGGGCTGGCTTTAGGGCGCAAAACCAACACTGCGCGGGCACGTGGCGATGCCAGCCAGCCCCCGGGCAGCAGGGGCGGGCCCAGGGGTCCCCCGTGTGCATGCCGCCTGGCCCACCCGCCCCGCCAGCGGCGGAGCACACCATCACCCCTCCACTCGCGGCCCCTGGCAGACATCGCCCCTCCATCGACTGCCAGGGCCCCGCCCCGAGCCCTGCCCCTCCCATCACGCCTCCCCCAGCGGCATTACATTGCTCAGGCTCTCCTCTTGGAGCTCGTGGTCGTCGCCGTATTCGCTCATTTTCTCGTCGATGGCAGCTGTCTTGGCAGCCCCCGCAGCACTCCAAAGGGCCATGCATGTCGCAATCGGCCAGCATGGTCAGGCCTGCCTTCGTGGCGCCTGGGTCTCGCCCTGGGGGAGTCGCTCCCGGCGCGCAGCAGTGTCTTCAGCAGCGGCTCTTGGCTCAGCTGGTCAGTTGTAGACCCCAGCCTCCTCCTGAAAGGCCCCCCCACCGATCGCCTGGTTGATCGCCTTTTGCAGCGGCGCAGGCCCCCTCCTGCTGGCAATGACGCTGTGGACGCTGCTGCAGGTGGGGAGGTGGCAGCGCGGTTGCCGCCAGCGGCGGGTGGAACCTGTGCCGCCACCTCGCTGCCGCCGACGCGCACCTGGTGCGTTGCCGCCGTCCCGCTGTGCAGGGTGTCCTGCTGGTCTCCAATGGGCTGGCCATCCTGAACAACGAGAGGTTCCTTGAAAAGTGTGAGTCATACCACACAGGTCGATTGGTGGCGGTGGCGACCAGGAGGGCCGCGGGCCGCCCTTCCCTGGCAAAGGTAGACTCCAACGCCGAGTCATAGCTTCGACGCGGCTCCTCCTGCTGCCCGCAGATGGCTGGGGCTTCTCGCAGCTAGGCAACAATCCCATGGGCCCCTCACCAAACGCCCTCAAGTATCAAATCATAGGCATGCTGCACGCGTCAGCATTCTTGCGAGGTGTGACCAGCACATCCTGGTGTTGCCGGTGAAGCAGGAGCAGCGGTGCTGGGCTGCCTAGACCCCGCAGCAGGCATAAATTGCCTTGCGCTCTTGGCGTCCGCCCACAAACCAATCTCCACCAGACGCTTGTGCTCCCGCTGCCGTGCAGTGCCGCTCATAGTCCTCAATACGCTGGTGGTGTTTGTGAAGCTGGTGTTTGGATGATGCCGGCCTGGCAGCCTGTCCCAGCACCTGCGCCGGCATCTCAACCTGCTCCCCAGCCAGTGTTTCTTCTTTCCTCGGTACACACGAGTGCCTGCTGTGGTCCCTACCCGGGCACACGCCGCTGCACTCCCTCTTTGCTCCTAGCACTGCTGCCCTGCTCTTTATCTCTGCTTGCTGCCGCCTTCCTGCTGCCGGACCACATTTCATCGGGCATGCGCTGCCGCCTTTGGTGGCTTGCGGATGCAACTGACAGACCGACTGTGACCACCCACCCTTCGACCAACACTGCCTCTGTAACGCACCCCCACATAAGACGCCTCGGCTCAGCCACGCTTCCAACCAGGCCCAGCCAGCTGGCATGTGGTTGTGCACCATTTGCATGGGGAGATGACGCATGATGAATCTCAAAATGTTTGTGCAGGGGAGGCTTCTCATGAGGTGCAGGGTTGTGTGTGCGCGCCCAGCCAGGGCCGCCCGGCAGCCAATTGGCACCCAAGTTTGATAGCACGGCCCGCCTGGGGGGCAGCAGGCGGGAAAGAATCTAATCGGCCGGGCAAGAATGGCCGGCCAGGAAGCGCTGTGTGCAGTGCAGACGTCAACGTGGAGCAAAGATCAAAACAAGGATTTCGGGGGGGGGGGGGGCAGGAAGTGGAAAAGCAGGGGAGGGGAGGGGAGGGGGTCGCCATTGGCAAGCAAAGACAAGCACGCCGGGCCGGTGCCAGCGGGGCTGGTACAAGCGCACACCGCACACATGCTCTCACACAACACACACGCACACGCTTTCAGCACCGTGTCGGCACATGTGCGCAGCATCGCGCGCTGCGACACGGCCAGCACGCGCCTAGGGAGGGCGGGGGCCCGCCAGCCGCACGGCCGCCCGCCTGCAGTCATCCGCTGCCCGCGCGGCACAGCTCGGCCAAGGGCCCTCAGCTGGGGGCCTCAGCGCGCCGGGCCGAGCTGCGCCTGGGCAGGGGGTGGCCCGCCGAGCTCGCGCCGCCGCCGCCTCACGAGTGCTTGTTCTCCGCGTTGCAGATGCTGATGAAGGAGGCGCCCTGGAGTGAGGCGCCCCCCACCAGGAAGCCATCCACATCCTCCAGGTTGGCCAGCGTGCCGCAGTTGGACTCGTTCACTGCAGCCGGCCAGGCGCGGCGGGCGGGGAGGGGGGGCGAGGGCAGGCGAGGGCAGGGTGGGCGGGTGGTGTCGTGGGAGCGCGCAGGCGCCGGGCCGTCGTGCGGCCGGCAGGCATCGCCGCCACGGCACCACCACCACAGGCCAAGCAGCCCAGGCCGCACCGGAGCCGCCGTAAAGGAGGCGCAGGTCGGCGGCGACGTCGGGCGACACGTTGTCTGAGATCCACTTGCGCACATAGGCGTGCGCCTCCTGGGCCTGCTCGGGGGTGGCCACCACGCCCGTGCCGATGGCCCACACCGGCTCGTAGGCGATCACCATGTTGACCCAGTTGCCCAGGCTGGTGTGGTTGGCAATGGCCCTGCGCGCGGCAGGGGGGGCCCGGGGAGGGAGGGGGCGGGGGGGCGGGTTCAGGCGGCCCCGGGGGCGGCAGCGCCTAGCAGGCGACACGCCGCGCCCACAGGGGCACAGCCATCACCACCCTACACACGTGCACACCGCCACCACCACCACCATACCACCCCCACCCCCCACCTCAGCTGCGCGTCCAGCACGTCAAACATGTGGCCCGACTCGCGCTGCGCTAGCGTCTCGCCGATGCAGCCGATGACCTTGAGGCCCTGGCTCAGCGCGTACTCGCACTTCTGCCCCACCAGCTCGTCGTCCTCGCGGCACAGCGAGCGGCGCTCTGCGGGGGCGGGAGGGAGCGGGCGGGGAGGGGGGTCAAGGTCGGCAGCGCGCCAGCACCAACCAGTCAGCAAGCACCAAGCAGCAGCCAGCCAGCTGGCATCAGCAGCAGCCAACAGCAGGCATCACCGGCGCTCCGCCGGCGCGAGCCAGCAGCGGCCCAGCCGCGGTTGTGGGCAGCGGCAGCCACCAATCGGTGCGGCGCGGCGCGGCGCCTGCTGCCCCTGCCCACCCGAGTGGCCCAGGATGACCCAGGGGATGCCAAAGTCGTGCAGCATCTCTGCAGACACCTCCCCTGTGAACGCGCCGCCCTTGCCCACCCAGCAGTCCTGCAGCCAAGGCGGTCCCAGCAGCGGCGGCGGTGGAAGTGGTGAGGTGGAGGCCGGCCGGCATGCATGCACGCACGCGTGCGGGGCGAGATGGCGCAGGGGCGTGAGCACGGCGGCGAGGTGGGACGCGGCCCGCTGCCGGCCAGATGGGGATGCTGGGCAAAAGCATTGCCGGGCACGCATGCGTGCGACGCCAGGCAGCCTTTCTCCTCTCCTCTCCTGCATGTATGCATGCATGCGCAGCTGCGGGCGTCGCCTGGCACCGCCCATCCCGCACCTGTGCGCCTATCTCGAAGGGCGGGTTGAGGGTCTTCTTCACCATGTCCAGGTGCACAAAGGTGGGGGCCACCACAATCTCCACCTTGTCCGCCGGAGGCACGCTGCCTGCACAGCGGGAACAGCAGCGATAGGTCGGCGGGCGGGCGGGCGCAGATGGCGTGTGTGGTCTGCTACGCCACAGCCATCCCCAGTGCCGAACTTCAGATGCCGGCTGCGCACTTGCTGCCCACATTCATTGCAGCATCAGAGCTGGCAGATCGCCAAACGCTAGATAAAGGCAGGGCGGGCACGGGGCAGGCGGCGGCTACACACGTGCCGCATCCCTAGCGCAAGCAGTGGCGGCCCAGCGGATCCGCCGTTGGGCCCCACATCTACCCACAGCCGGCATGCAGGCGGCTGGCTGGGCATGGGAAAGGGCCGCACCTGCGTTCAGGTCTTTCACCAGCTGCGTCACCGACTCAACGGTGCCATTGCACTTCCAGTTCTGCAGCAGTAGTTTTGAGGGCGAGGCCGCCGCTCAGATCCCGCACATTTCCCGCCATGTGCAGTTTGCTGGGAGTGCTGCACGGCGGCAGCGCCCCGGTTTGGCACACGATCGCCTCTGGCGGGGGAGCATCGGCCGTAGATTTACCCCTCCAATGAAGAAACGTCCGTGGGCTCGGCTGATGACGTTCAGCCGCGCGCTTCTGCTGCCGGGGGAGCAGCGCCGAGCACCCGGCAGCTGCAGCCGCTGGTGCACCAGGCTGGTGGCAAACGTCATGACTTCCTGGTTGTGCGGCAGCGCCGATGCGGGCGGATGGGGGCCGATGGCGATGGGGTGGGCGGTTTAGGCCCTGGGGTGGCGCCATCTGCCAGCTAGGCCGGCTGGAAAGGCGCCCTGTGAGGCCACGTGAGGCGCATTGCGGGCCAATCTCGCGCCAATTCACAGCTCACAAACCAAGGCGGCAACTGGTGGGCCCGGCGGGCGTCGCTGCAAGCAAGTGTGCATCGGCACCCCCCTACCGCCGCCGCCGCCGCCGCCGCCCGCCGTGTGCTCTCAGAAGAACTGGGCAGCAGTGCTGCCCACGCCGCCCTCCCTCTTGAACCACTCCTTCAGCGCGTGTGGGCAGTTCCAGTGGGCATCCATGCCCTCCTGCACCTCCTCCCGAGTGAGCTGCAGGTAGGCGGCAGCGTAGGGGTGCGTCGCCACGCGCGCCTCGCTCCTGCGGGGCACAGGGTGGAGGGATTGACGCCCAGGGGTTGATTTGATGCGGCCCTAAAGCAGTAACCCTGCGCTGGCAGCCAGCAGGGCTACGCAACACACCACAGCCGCAAGGCTGCGCTCCCGAGCCACCCGCCACGCAAGCACGCGCCCAACAGCTCCCGCTGCTACCCTCCCCCATCTGCTCTAGGCTGCTGCTGCCTGCCCACCAGCCGACACACGCGGCCGCTACCCCACCACACCCTCCCCCAGCTCCCCAGCTCCCCAGCCGCCCCTGCCGCCACCACCACCAGCCCAGCCCCACGCGCATCACGCCGCCCGCCCACACACTGCTATGTGTGACTTCATACTTTGCCGGACGGCCTCACCGCGGGTCCACAAAGGCCACCAGCCCCGCATCCAGCAGCTCGTCCCAGACCTTGGCCAGCGCCGGCTTCTCGTAGGTGTCCACGTGCCCGCCGTGCAGGGTGTACCGCTGATACTCGTGGAAGGCCTGCGGTACGGTCGGGTGCAAGCCCGGTGCCAGGGCAGCCGTGTGGACTCCACGCGTCGGCACGCTGCCCTGGTCTCAAAGCCCTACACGCTAGCTACTGTATATACCACCTCCCAAAACCCGTTGAATGCTCCCCGATCCCCGCATAAATGCATCTTCCTGATGCCTCCAGCCCCGCCCCGCCCCGCACCATCTCAAAGTTGAGGTCCCCAGCGTCCCGCGCCGTCACCCGGTGCACCGCCACCAGCAGGATGAGGCCCAGGATGGGCAGCCCCGCCACCACCTCCACCTGCAGGCCGTGGGGACACCCAGCGGGCACAGGCAGGCGCATCAGACATGATCCAAGCCGTCTCAACACCCAGCAGGGGCAAGTCTGGTGCTGGGCAAGGGCTGCTGGCGTGGTGGCGCAGCAGGGAGCAGGTCGGGCGGCCGGCAGGAGCAACCGGCGGCAGCACGCGGCAGCCAGCGGGCGCCCCGCGGCTCACCATCCCCTTGCGCTGCCTCAGCTGGTCGTCCACCGCGGCCAGCAGCTGGCGGGCGGCGAGCCTGTCGGGGGCTGCGTCGGCGCCAGCAGCCAGGCCGGCGCCAGCGCCCTAGCCAGCGCCACGTCAGCAATGTTGGCCAGGTGGCGCAGGCTGGGGTAGATGTTGATGCACTCCTGCAGCCGGCTGCGCACCTCGCGCGCAACCGCGGCTGCCTCCACAGACGCGTTCCACGCCGCCGCATAGCGGCGGTGGGGGAACTCGGGCGGCAGCGTCAGCATGGCCTGCCAGCAGGGGTGGGGCAGGAGGGGAGTGGCGTGCACAGTCGGCAGTCGGGCCTGCGGTGGCCTGCTGCCGCAGGCTACGGCAGACACCTTGTACTAACCCTCGAGCAGTAGGCTGCCCTGCCTGCCCTGTATTGGAAAGCTGCCCAATACCCTGCCACTCATTGCCCTGCTGCGCCCTCTGCGTGCGCCGCCCTTGCTACCCTACACCCCATCCCCTTTCCCCCGCCCGCCCACCTGGAGCACACCCATCGCCCCGTCCTGCCCCGCCTCCTGCACCGGCCGCCCATCCTCCGCCGGCCTGGGCAGAACCGGCATCACGCTGGTGGGCAGCGACAGGTCCAGCTTGCGGTGGCTGCGCCAGGGGCAGTAAGGAGGGGCAAGCCGGGATGGAGAGTGGTGAGTGTATATGTGTGTGTTTTCAAGAGAGTCAAGAGAGAGAGAGCATGTGTGCACACGTGTGTTTGGAAAGAGGAGCGGGGACAGGCTGGGGCATCGCAGAGGGAGGGGAGGCGGAGTAGGTGTGCGCAAGCCCACCAGCTTACACAGCCCTGGAACCCCAGCCGGCGCACCTGAACCTGCTCTTCACCCGCTTCTCCAGCATCTCAATCACATCCTGCCGCACCGTCAGCCCCACCACCGCAGCCTGCGCAGCGTGGCGAGGAAGGTGGGTGAGATGGAGCGAGGGAGGCAGAAGAGCAAAGGACAGCCGCACACACACACACACACGCACGCACGCACGCACACACTCTCTCCTGCCTCCAGGCTCCTACCTGCATGCCGCTGGTCTGCAGCGTGTCCAGCAGGTTGTACAGCAGCGTCTGCTTGGAGCGCTTGGTGGCAAACAGGTCGAACTCGTCCAGCACAAACACGGCGCACTTGTCGGAGCTGCGGCGCGGTTCCAGGAGGGAGGGGGGGAGTTTGGGCGAGGGGGGACACGGGCTGTGCGAGCGGCAGCAGGGAAAATTGAGCAGGTGGGCAATTGGGGGGCGTGGGGAGTTGTATTGATAAGAGGGACCAGGAGGGGGCGGGAAAATGGGGAGCGGACGGGTGGGAGCGGCGGGGAGGGCGCGCCTGCGCACATTCTGGCAGTCCCACCCACCTGGCCAGCGCCGCCAGCATGCCGCGCAGGAACTCGATGTTTTCCCCCACAGAGGCGCCACGGCTGAAGGAATACTTGAACACCCTGCAAGGGCGCCGGGGCCAGGCGTGTTGCCGCATGCAGGTGTGTTTGCCGCATGCCAGCGCCGCGCGGCAGCGGGGGAGCCCCCCAGCGGCACCAGGGACGGGTCGGGGTGTGGTGGGCGCTGCCGGCGGCGGGGGCGGGCGCTGCCGGCACCCTCGACTCACTCGCACAGCTGGCGGGCCACCTCCCTGAACGCGGCCCGCTCCTCGGCTTGTGCCAGCCCCGTCAGCCGCACCACGCCCACCACCGGATCCCGAGGGTCCTGGTTCCACCGCGCCTCCAGCGCAGCCAGGGCCCGCTCCACCAGCTGCAGGGGGGACAGGCAGCCGGGAGGCGGGTGGTGGTGGTCAGCGGCGGCGGCGGCGGCGGCGGCGGGCGCGGTGCCGGTGGGACAAGGGAGCAGAGGCGGCGCTGTGGGCAGGGCGGACGGTGCAGAGGGCAGTGTGATGGACGGCACGCTGTGAGCGAGCAGTCCCCGAGCGGTTCCAGCCCCAGCTGCAACCACGGCCCCAGCACCAGGCCCCCTCCAGCCCCAGCCAGCATGCTGCCGCCGCGCACCAGGCTCTTGCCCGACCCGCGCGGACCCATGACCAGCAGCGAGTTGTTGTGCCCCAGGTCCACAGTGTTGGTCAGGCTGTCCAGCAGGGCATCATGCGCCTCCTGCGGCACCGGGGTGTGGCGGCGCATGTTTGGTGTTGAGTGTGTGTGTGGCAGCGGGATGGGCGGGCGGGTGGGTGTGGCAGCGTGCGTGGTGGATGGGACGGGGGTGGGGCTGGGAGGATGGGGGAGGCACAGGGCAGGGCAGGCCCCCAATGCAGCCGCCCCACCTTCAGGTGTGGGCGCAGCAGCATGGTGCCCGCCTCTCGGCTGCGCGGCATGGTGAGGCGGCGCAGCAGGAAGTCCGAGGTGGCAGCAGCCGGGTCGGCGATCGAAGCGTACTCGGCAAATCCCTGCCCCGCCCCCTCCTCCTGCTCTGCCTGCGCCCCCACGCCTTCCCCAGCCTCCCATTCAGCCGCCGCCGCCCCGTGCTGCTGCTGCTGCTCCGCCTTCCTGGCTGCCGCAGATGGCGGGCGAGGCGCCTTGGCGCCGCCAGACGGCGGCGGCGCCGACATCTCCAGCGGCTGATCTGCTGCTGCGGCAGCCACGGGCGTGGGGGGGCGCCCCGCTGGCTGCTTCCCCTTGGGCCCAGCAGCCGGCAAGGCAGCGACTCGCGGCTGCTGCTGCTTCCTGCTGCTGCCGCCCGATTGCTGCCGAGCCTGCTGCGCCGGCAGTGCGGGCTGCGGCGCTGGCGGGGGCAGCGCCTCGCCGCGCTGGCGCTTGCCTGGACGCTTCCCCTGCTGCTGCTGCTCCTGGCTGTCCTCCTCATCAGCCGCCACGTCCTGCCGGGGCTCGCCAACTGCACCAGGCTGCTTCCGCTTGCCGGCCAGTTGCCTCTTCGGCCCTGGGCGCTGCTGCTGCGGCTCCTCATCCTTGCTGCCGCTGCTTGTGGTCTCCTCGTCGCTGCTCGCTGCCTGTGGTGCCGCCCATCCTGCCTTGTCCCGCGCGCCGCCGCCCGCCTTCTTGCCTGCCGCCTGCTGCCGCTTCTGCTGTTCCGCGGGCTTGCCGCCGCTGCGGATGCCAGCCTTTTGCGGCTCTGCCGCGTCTTTTCCCCTCTTAGAGGCAAGTCGGCGTGCAGCGGCGGCAGCTAGACTAGCCTCCTGCTGCTGCCGCTGCTTTGCCCCGCTGCTCTTCACAGGCTTTGCCGCTGCCATCGCTGGCTGCTTGACCGGCTGTCCGCGCTGCTTGGCCGCGGGCAGCTTGGCAGGGGGTGCCGCGGCGGCAGCGCGGGAGCCTTTGCCGGCCTTGGCGGCGGGCTTGCTGGCGGGTGGGCTGGGCTGCTGCTCCTCCTCCAGCTCACTCTGCTCATCATCATCCATCTCCTGCAGATACCACAGGCACACGGCGTTGGGCAAGGGCTGGATACGACAGCCGCCGCCAGCCCGGCGCCGGCTGTCGTTGTTCTGGCGGCGGCAGGAGGCTCACCTCGTCATCGCCGTCAAGTACCAAGCTTAAATCACCATCGGAATCATCTGAGGCCCACGCCTTCGGGCCTTTGCGTTTGGCCATTGGCCCAAAGGTCTTGCCTAGCAAAGCGGCTGCGGCCCCCGCTGAGTTCGTTATAAGCCCTTGATCATTCAACAGCGTGGGGGGATTGGCACGTGCTCTAGCTGGTGACGATCAGAAGGGGAGGCAAATGAAGTTTGAAGTGGTGCCACAGGCTGTGTGGGGAGGTTGCGGTGAGGCTGCCAAGCGCGTGTGTCGCCTGGGAAGGCAGCCGCAGGCGAAAACACGCGAAAACAATCCGCTTTCCTCCACTCTCCACCCCGTCAGCAATTCTCGTGCTGCGCCGTCCCCTTCGACGTCGCACATGTGATCACACCAGCAATCCAAAAACATACGGAGCTGGTATATTGACGCCAGGCGGCGGCCGGGGGCGCTTGGAGAATGGAAGAGTGGGATGTGGCCAGCGATGAACAGGGAGGCCCCAACGTGGAAGAGCAGTTGAATGCGGTGGATCGGGAAATTGCGCAGGCGAGGCTACCGGCCGGTTCTGGATGCCCCAACCGCTCGCGCCGCCAGCGCCCGCCCGCCTGCCCACCCGCCGCGTGTCCTCTTGCTTTGTGCCACCTTCCCCGCTTCCCGCCCCGAGCAGGTGGAGGCCCAGATCGAGCACCTGCTGTCACGGCAGGCCGCGCTGCAGGAACAGCGCGAGCGGCTGCAGCGGATGAGGGCGGCCGAGGCTCGCGCACCGCGGGCCGACTGGCTGGGCACGTTTGCGTGGGACGGGCGCGTGCAGCAGCTGCTGGGCGACGTGTTTGGGCTGCGCAGCTTCCGGCCTCTGCAGAGAGAGGTCATCAACGCCACACTGCAGGTGGGTGGGTGCTGCACGGCGCCGACAGGCGCGCGGCGCTGTTGGGGGTAGTTGGTTGGCAGCACCCATGGCCTGCTGCCACCCCACGCCCCTGCTGCATGCAGGGGCGTGACGTGCTGTGCCTGATGCCCTCCGGCGGCGGCAAGAGCCTGTGCTACCAGCTGCCCGCGCTGCTGTCGGGCAGCGGGCTGACGCTGGTGGTGTCGCCGCTGCTGTCGCTCATCCAGGACCAGGTGCCGCTGCGCTGCGCTGCGCTGCGCTGTGCCGCCGCTGTGCATGTCGCTCCTTCAAGACCAGCATTGCTGCGCTGCTCTGCTCGAATCATCGGCGGGTGCCCTGCTATCTGGCCGTGCAGCCCACGCTGTCCCTGCCGCCGCGCCCTCCCTCAGGTGCTGGGCCTGTCGGAGCTGGGGGTGCAGGCAGCAGCGCTGACCTCCCTGACCAGCAAGGAGGAGGCGGCATCCATCTCCAAGCAGGCAGGGACAGGCAGCAAGGCTGCAGTCAGCCTGTGGCAGCCGCGGCCGCGCCTTCTATTTGCCAACCGCTCGCGTTCCGCCACACCAACCCACACCTGGGCCACATCCCTCCCCTCGGTTTGCATGCAGGTGGAGGAGGCGGGGGGCAGCGGCGGCCTGCGCCTGCTGTACTGCACGCCGGAGAAGGTGGCCAGCTCCAAGCGCTTCTTTACCAAGTGAGCCGCCTGCTCTCAGTGCTTGCCTTGTAGTTGTTTTCGGGGCAGTGTGTGGATGCAGGGACGAGCTGCCCCCCTGGGCTGCATGAGCCGCAGCAGGCCCATTGCATTGAGCACCAGATGCGAAGGATCCGGCTGCGCTGGCTGTGACCTGCTCCGCATCTGCTGCGCAGGCTGGAGAAGGTGTACAAGGCGGGGCGGCTCACACGCATAGCCGTGGATGAGGCGCACTGCTGCTCCCAGTGGGGTGCGTGCATGCGGCCAGCGGAGTGTACGGACCTGTGATGGGGAGGCGAGGCCAGGGCGCCACCTGTGGCTGCTTAGCCGCTGACGCCTCCACGGCTTCACCTGGCCCTGCCGCTCCTGCCGCCGTGCCGCCGCTGGCCTCTCCCGCCCTGCAGGCAACGACTTCCGCCCCGACTACAAGAAGCTCGGCATCCTCAAGCAACAGTTCCCCGACACGCCGCTCATCGCGCTGACAGCCACCGCCACGCAGGCGGTGAGGTGCCGGGGACGCGGATGGGACGCGTGCCTGGAGGGCATGTGTGCTGTGATAGCCGGCCCCGCGATTTAGTCCACGCACCACGCTCGTGCTGGCGCCTGTGCCCCGCCGGAGCATGCGTCCATGCTCTTCCCTGCTGCTTGCTTCCCTTGCGCGTGTGGGTGTGTGTGCGTGCGCCAGGTGTGCCAGGACCTGCGCACCATCTTGAAGATCGAGGGCTGCGAGCTGTTCAAGAGCTCTATCAACCGGCCCAACCTGTTTTACGAGGTGTGGCGCCCGCCCTCGCCGCAGCATGCGCCCGGGGAGGCAGGCAGGCACAGCTGCCGCCTTCAAACGCTTGCAGCGCCCGGGGTCACTGCCGCCGCTCGTGGCTGCCGCTGCCCGCCCCACTGGCCTGCAGGTGAGGCAGAAGCCGGCCAAGGAGAAGGAGCTGGTGGCGGAGATGGCGGCGTGGATCCAGGGCAACTACCCGGCGGGGGATAGCGGCATCATCTACGTGCTGACGCGCAAGGACGCCGAGAGCCTGGCAGACGTGCGTGGCAGCAGCTGGGCGGAGCATCCCCCGTGTGTGGTGGCGGTGTGGTGTGGTGCCGCAGGGCTACAACAAGGCAAGCCTGGCAAGCAGGCTGTCTGCTGGCAGCGAGCATCCACGGCCCGCCCTGCGCATGCGCATGCATGCGCGCACGCGCACGCGTGCCTTGGTGCCCGCAGGAGCTGCGAGGCGCGGGGGTGTCGTGCCAGGGGTACCACGCTGACATGGAGCCGGCACGGCGGGAGCGGGTGCACCTGCAGTGGAGCCAGGGGCGGGTTCAGGTCATCGTGGCCACCATCGCCTTTGGCATGGGCATCAACAACCCTCACGTGCGCTTCGTCATCCACCACACCCTCAGGCAAGGAAGGCCCCGGGCCGTGGCCTGGCCCCAGCAGGGCAGCGGGCCGAGCAGGTGACACCAGATGGCCAAACTGATTGGCCAGCAGGTGATACCAGATGGTGTGCCCTGTGGTCTCCTCTGTACCATCCTGACTCCTCCCGCCCTGCCCGGCCCGTCCCTGCCCTGCCCTGCCTTTGATACAGCAAGTCGACCGAAAACTACTACCAGGCAAGAAGGAGGGGAAACTGGGGCGGTGGTGGTGGTGTGTGCAGTGTGGTTTTGGTTTCTGCGGCATACTTGCTGGGGCCGGGGCTGCACAGATAGCGGGCACGTTGCTGACATGCAGCCAACGTGGGAGGATCCTGGAACATGTTTCTTGCTGCTGGCTGCAGGAGTCGGGGCGTGCGGGGCGCGACGGCCTGCCCGCCCACTGCCGCCTCTACTACCGCTTCGGCGACTACCTGCGTCAGGTGGGGAGCACTGCTGTTGCAGCGTGGCTGTGCCGGGCTGCTGGGAGCTGCTTGGATGGTGTGCGGCGCCTGCTCAGTGCACCTCCACACTGGTGCCGCCTCGCGCACAACGTGTACCATGCACCCCCTCCTCCCTCGTCCCGCCCGCACTTGCCTGCAGGCTGCGGTGGTGACCATGGAATCCAACTGGGAGCCGTGCCTGAAGGGCATGCTGCAGTACGCCGCCGCCCCCACCTGCAGGCGCGCGCTGCTGTGCCGCCACTTTGGGGAGGCGCCCGCCCGCTGCGCCGGCATGTGCGACCGGTGTAGACCTACCGGGGCAGACGCTGCGGGCACCGCAGCAGCAGCAGCAGCAGCAGCAGGGGCAGGGGCAGGGGCAGGGGCTGGTGGAGCGGCGGCGGCTGGGGCGGCAGGTGCAGCAGCAGCGGCGGCAGCGGCAGCAGGGGGAGGAGCACCGGAGCGCAAGGATGTGACTGAGGCAGCCCAGGGCGTGCTGCAGACGCTGCAGGTGGGTGGGTGTGGCAGCATGCGCCAGTCTGACACGGGCGAGGCTGCTGGCCTTGCAGCTGTGCCCCTGAGCTGCTGCCGCTCCCTTTGTGGCCGCCACGTGCGTGTGTGCAGGGCTGGCCGGGGGACGAGAAGCGCGCCACCCTCATCCAGCTGGTGGACAAGTGGAGGGGCAGCAAGGTGCGCCAGGCTGGCAGCCCACGCCCGTGGTGGAAAGCGCGGCGCTGCCCACGCCATGCCATGGCGCCAGGGCCAAGCCGCCGCTGCCCAGCCTGTGGCGGGGCGTGCTCGTGGGTTCATGGGTTGAAGGATGCATGCCCGGTGTGCCTGCCTGCCCCCTCCCTGCCTTCCACCTTGCTGCCCTTGCTGGCCTGAATCCCAGCACCGGCCGCCGCCCCTCCCGCCTCCGCCCCTCCCCGCAGGATGCGGCGGTGGCCAAGGCTGCCAAGGCTCTGTCCCGCGACGAGTGCGAGGCTGTAGTGCAGGCGCTGGTGCTGGAGGGCAGCCTGCGCCTGGACTTTGGCTTCACCGCCTACGCCACCAACGCCTACCTCAAGGCCACCGGCCGCGCAACGGGCCTGCTGCAGGTATCGAGCGCGGGGGAGGGCCAGGAGCGGTGTGGGCAGCCATATGCTGATCTGTTGGTGGATTGTGGGGGGGTGAACTGCGGACGGACCTCCCTGCTGCGGCGGCGTGCTGCTCATTTGGAGCATTAGCCCTGGGCGGTGCAGGGCAAGCGCCAGCTGCTCATCGCGGCGCCGCCGCCGGGCGGGGCCCAGCACGGCGCCTTCAAGCCGCAGCCCGGCGCGGCGGCGCGGATGGCGCAGCAGCGCAGCCAGCAGCTGGCGCAGCGCGGCCAGCAGCAGCAGCAGCAGCAGCAACAGCAGCAGCAGCAGGTCAGTGGCGATTTGGGTGCAGAGGCGGTGGCAGCGTGCCCTCCAGGCGGCGCCGCAGCGGCAGCAGCTCAGGCGTCCCAGCGCCGGGCGGCGGCAGCCGCAGAGGCCACGGCAGCGGCACGCACCGCGCTGGAGGCGGCGAGGCAGCGCCTGGCCACCTCCTTTGAAACCATCCGTGCTGCTGTGCTGTCAGGTGCCTGCTGCGGCTGCGTGCATCGAGGCAGCGTGTCCGCTTTCCTCCACGGCCAGTCGCTGCCATTCAGCCCGTTGGGCCATCTCAACAAGCCCCACCCACCCGCCCCGCTGCCTCACCCCCTGCAGACGACCAGGTCGGGCAGCTGGCGGCGCAGCGCCCCGCCACGCGTCAGCAGCTGGCGCACCTGGTGGGCGCGCAGAAGGCGGAGCTGTATGGGCAGCAGCTGCTGGCGGCGCTGCTGGGCCAGCCAGCGGCAGCACCTGGGCAGCAGCAGCAGAAACAGCAGGTGGGGAAGGAGGAGCAGCAGCAGCCCAAGCAGCAGAAGCCCAAGCAGCAGCAGCAGAAGCGCAAGCAGCCGCAGCAGCCCAAGCAGCGGCAGCCGCGGCCGCAGGCGGAGGTGGTGATCATAGATAGCAGTGGCGACGAGGAGGATGACTTTGTGGCCCAGCCGGCAGCCAAGCGCGGCAAGAAGGCGTAGCCACGTGGCTTCTGAGACTGGGCTTGATCCCGTCGTGGCAGGGGTGAGCGAAAACAAGGAGTGTCCTTGCGCACACTGTATGCTCAATCCCATTGGCCACCGGAAATGTGATGCTTCACTCGAGGCTTACAGGGCCCGGCTGTATCAGCCTGCCTCCGGGCAGACTTCAACGCCGTAGCTGGCTCTGCACAGTGCTGAGCAGTGCGCCGCACTCACTGCAAGCAGCAGGACCAGCAGGCAAGGATGCAAATTCACACCTGACACCACAGCAGAGGACGCCCCGCTGAGGAAGGCAAGCGGGCACAAGGCAAGCAGGCAGCAGGCAAATCCGGGCCCCCACCGCAGTAGCCGGTCGTCGGCTGGCGACCGCCTGCTGCTGGCGGTGGCCGTGGGGGCGACGGACCACTGCATGGCAAGGGCACGGGCTGGTGAGAACAAGGGCTGTGGCCGTGCCAGCCGGGAGCTGCAAAGCCGCTGCTGAGCAGCGGCAGCACACCTGTGTGGCGTGGTGAACTCAAAGGGTGCGCTGTCTGGGCCTCGGCCCGCGGAGTTGACGCCCCAGGAGAGGAAGCGGTAGGTCCTGCCAGGCTGCCAGCTGCCAGCCGGCAGCGTGAAGAGGCTCTGCAATCAAGCAGGGCATCGCGGCAAGCATCGGCGCGCTGCTGTTTGGCCCACCAAACTCCTCCCTCCCCTGTGGGCCACATGCACTGCCCACTCACAGCTCGCCGCCCGGTTGTTGGGTTGCTACTGCTGCTGCTGCTGCTGCTGCCCAGCGCAAGCCACCCCCAGGTCTTGGTGGCCGCAGCATCGTCCACGGCAGGCTGGCCCAGCGAGCCTCCGGCGGCGAGGATGGGCCCGCCGTTGGTGGGCAGGCCCAGAATGAAGTAGGCGGTGATGGAGGAGCCGCCGTCGGTGGCGGGCGGCAGCACGGCGATGCGCAGGTCGCCGCCTGCCTCAGCTGCGACCCCATCAATGGTGGGAGCGCCAGGCACACTGCAGTTGCTCAAAGCCCGGAACGGGTTCAGCAGGTCATGTGAGGTTTTGGACGAGGGCAAGAACATATGTGATGAAGGACAGAGCACCTGGGCAGCAGCTGCGAGGCTGGTGGTGGTGGCGAGGGCGTGAGGGGC